GTGCCCAGTGTGCCGCCCCACGGAGATGTGTTATCTTCTTAATCATTAGAGGACCACGTATTATTCTGTGTAATTAACTTGACATTATTTTGTTCAGAAATTTAATTCGTTCCAGATCTTAGCTTCAACGCCACGAGATTTGTAGGATGCATAATTCAGAAAATAACAAAAACCACAGCTCAAACCGAACTTCCCCCTCCCCTCCCCATTGCCACTTTCTTTAGGATGACTTTAAAAGTTAGGGGGACTTTGTTTTGGGGAATGACAGTCTTGTGTGCATCTGTATTTTTGCAGTATGTGATATTCCTCTGTATGACATATGTGACTACAACGTCTCCAGAGACCAGTGCAAGGAACTTGGCTGCTGCTTCTATAAGGGTGTCTGCTATGAGAAGGCAGTTCCGAGTAAGTACCCGTGGCCACGCACCCCCTGTACAGTGACCCCCAGGGCAGCTCAGGTCGGCCCATGTTTTCCAGGGCCTTTGCTTGCTTCCTTTCCCCAGAGCCTCTTTTATTGTTGTGGGGTAAAATTATTCTGCTCAGTGCATTAGTGGGAGCGGGAGACCTTGACGAGGCTTGACCTAGAGGGCTTGTGAGTGCGGCTTAAACCACCAGAGAAATGTCCTTCTTAGACAGGATGGATTTGATATTGAAGAGGATTAATTAACATCCGTCTTTCTTGGAAGCATTTGGTCATTCTGGGTGGTTGTAGAAGGCTGGGTTTGAGTAACCAGCGCAACGTAAGCAAATGGTTTGGGGATAGGGACTAGCTGATGGCAATTAGTTACATCTTAACCATAGACAAGTTAGAGTTATCCAGCTAAGGACAGGACGACAACCCCAACTGGCAGTCTCTGCAGGCTACATAAGCATCAGACTTGAACAAAGACTCGGTGCTAATATTTGCACACCAATCACTCCAGCCTGGAATGCTCCTGGGGGAAAGGTGAGAACAGGCAGGCACTCACTGAAAGGGGGAGGCACTGGGAGGTTGTGGGGGAGTCATTCACCCTCACCAAATAGGGACCACTCTCCCCATCAGCCTTCATGGCTTCCTAAAGGAGCCACAGCCTTCAGAGAACTATTTCTAGCTGCAGAAAGTACTCACAGCAAAGTGGGAGGGCATGGGTGTGCAGAAGGATATAAAACTACAATGCGGTACCAGCCAAGGGGTGTTTTAATCATACTTTGTAGATATATTCTCACGCGTTAGGACTTATGCCTTCTGTGCCATTGAAATTAAAAAGATTAGTATTTCCA